ACAGAAGGAGAATGTATTAGCAGTCCTGGTGATTGTGATACAGGATGGAGTGGTAATACATGTAAGTGTAAAGGTATGAATATGATATTATATCAGATATGTCAGTTTACCAATGGGTGTTATTACAGAAGGAGAATGTGTTAGTAGTCTTTGTGATTGAAATACAGAATGGAGTGGTAATAAGTGTAATGGTATGACTATGATATCACATCAGATACGTCAGTTTACAAATGGATTTAATTACAAAAGGAGAATGTATTAGCAGTCCTGGTGATTGTGTGTACAGGATGGAGTGGTAATAAATGTAAAGGTATGACTATGATATCACATCAGATATGTCAGTTTACCAATGGGTGAAATTAGAAAGGGAGAATGTATTAGCAGTCCTGGTGATTGTAATACAAAATGGAGTGGTAATAAGTGTAAAGGTATGACTATGATATCACATCAGATATGTCAGTTTACCAATGGGTGAAATTAGAAAGGGAGAATGTATTAGCAGTCCTGGTGATTGTAATACAAAATGGAGTGGTAATAAGTGTAAAAGGTATGACTATGATATCATATCAGATATGTCAGTTTACAAATGAATTTAGTTAAAAAAGGAGAGTGTATTAGCAGTCCTGGTGATTGTGATACAGGATGGAGTGGTAATAAGTGTAAAGGTATGACTATGATATCACATCAGATATGTCAGTTTACCAATGGGTGTAATTAAAAAAGGAGAATGTATTAGCAGTCCTGGTGATTGTAATACAGGATGGAGTGGTAATAAGTGTAAAGATATGACTATGATATCACATCAGATATGTCAGCTTACCAATGGGTGTAATTAAAAAAGGAGAATGCATTAGCCGTTCTGGTGATTGTCATACTGGAAGGAGTGGTAATAAGTTAAAAGGTATGACTATAATATCACATCAGATATGTCAATTTACCAATGGGTGTAATTAAAAAGGAGAATGTATTTGCAGTCCTGGTGATTGTGATACAGGATGGAGTGGTAATAAGTGTAAAAGGTATGACTATGATATCATATCAGTTATGTCAGTTTACCAATGAATTTAATTACAAAAGGAGAGTGTATTAGTAGTCTTTGTGATTGTGATACAGGATGGAGTGTTATTAAGTGTAAAGGTATGACTATGATATCACATCACATATGTCAGTTTACCAATGGGTGTAACT